GCTACTAGGAGCAAAGACGCTACTAGTAGCTCCTGGCCTTACTACTACAACCAAGAAGCTACTAGTAGCAAAGGGCATCGCTACTAGGAGCAAGGACGCTACTGGTAGCTCCTGGCCTTACTACTAGGAACAAGAAGCTACTAGTAGCAAAGGGCATCGCTACTAGGAGCAAGGACGCTACTGGTAGCTCCTGGCCTTACTACTAGGAACAAGAAGCTACTAGTAGCAAAGGGCATCGCTAGTAGGAGCAAGGACGCTACACACTATAGTAGTTAATTTCCACATTGTCTGTGAGAAGTGGCTCAGAACCGCCGTGCAGACCTGGAAGACACAGGAAAAACATCGACTCGTTCGACGTGTTGAAAGCCGTTTCCAGGGGTTGCATGCTCAAAATAACAGGGTCGAGCTGCAGCTCCACTGTCCAGTGACCCGTGGGGACTTTTTTCTCTGATCCCGTCCAGGTCACGACAGGTTAAGTGCCCCAAGTGGGTTCACTATAGGGTTGGATTGCTAAATACATCTAAATGCCATGTCACCGGCCTCCATGCCTCCCATCTACAGAGTAGAGCCTCCATGCCTCCCATCGCTTGGAAAGCGAATCGCCACCCTGCAGAGATCAGCTTTTCACAGAGTTCAGTCCTCCACTAGTTGCTTCTGCTCAGGTGGCATCATGAGCATGATGATGGAGCAGATGACGCGCGTGGCGATGCAGCAAAGCATGGAGGAGAACAGCCGCAAGGTGCCTCCAGCCAGTGAACGAGTTCGAGATGCACTTCCACGGATCGTGGTGACGAAGGACGGAGATGGTGAAGCATCCGGTGAAGTCCGAGCGAGATGGCATGTGTACCCAAGAAAAACATGTATTAACATATTCATATTTAGACTATATATATATGTAATATAAGTTACCTGTAAACCATTCATGCCGATTATATACTTGCAGCCCATTGGCTCATTGCTTGAACCTCATTATTTTACTATTGACGACTCCTTTTGAGATTTGCTTGATTTGGGATCCTACTAGTGACAGTTCTACTCTTTGGGCACCGAGATTCTTCAGCGGGTGGACGAAACATGAGCATGTAGAAATCACCTTCAAAGAGGTTCCGGAATACCAATGCTGGGTTCTTTGAGCCGTTTTCTCATGCAGCTGAAGTGCAGTGTTTTTTGCAATACAGGTCTTGAACATGATTCAAACCCGATTCATGAGATTGCTAATGGATGATGTGACTGTGATGAGGTGGAAGATCATGTGTGATCCATGATATGTCATTGTTAATTAATGCAAGTTCGGATCACCTTGCTTGAAGCTGGTACCCTCAGTGGCGTGCCCTTACATTTACTGCATTCTGCCCACATTTCACCCACATCGAATTCCAATGCTCTTTTCGGTCCAAAAGAGCTGAGCACCAAAGACCACCGCGTTTTGGGATGCCACCGGCTGTCCGTTTGGTGCTCCATCTGTTGATCCGCTCCACCGTCCGATCGAGGTCCGCTGGGTGTCAGCTTTTGACTTGTGACGATGCTGTCAGGAGGATTTGATGGATTCAACCAACTCCAAGTGCTCCATTTGTTTGGACGACTTTCAGCCGGGCTTCCGTGCCACCCGGTCTCGCTGGCTGTTTGTTCGGGAGTTTCGGATGGATATATCGGGGCCAGTGGAGAGGCTGATGCCTGGAAGAGCAAGAAATTCTGTGTTCTTCACAGGGATCATGTGACATATCACTTCACTGGTGGCATTTTCTGAGATTAGATAGTGCTAAGGGTAGACATTGAATGACTCTAGCCAAACCACTTTCATGTGTCAGCATGTTTCACCTTTTTACTAGCAGTGACTCTATACAGAACATTCCAGCTGACATGGGAATATTACAGCTGCACTGACATTTGGCGGAGTAGATAGCGCACAACAGTCATAGTGAATTGCTAACACTGGGAGATTCCAAGCGATGGGCCAAATTTCGTGAGTGAGATTACTGGCCGTTTGCAGCGTGTGGTCCAGTTCCAGTTCCAGTTCCAGTCCTGTTTTTCGTCCACCCTGCGTCCAGGCTGAGGTGCGTTAGGTTTGCTTCGGGGTGCGGGGTCGTTACTGGGGCGTTGTTCGCGTCCAGCGGCTCGACGTCTCCATGTTTCACGTCCAACGGCAGAGCCGATGTTCACTCTTCCAAAGAGAGAGAGAGAGAGAGAGTACGAGAGAGTACGTACAACCCCAAACATACAAACTCTCTTCGTCTTCGCATCGCGTCTTCTTCCCTCGGTCTGTGAGCACGTCGCAGTCTGGCGGGTCGCAGTCTGTCGGGTCGGTGGTTGTTGGGTTCAGTGCATGTGACGGAACATCAGGTGGTGGGTGCGGGGGAAAAGCCTGTTTCATCGACATGGAGGGAACTGCAGTGATAGCGATGAGACATATAGATGAACAATGAACATGCAGTGGAACTGGCCTCGCGAGGCCATGCTTTGAACCTCATAGCATATACCGTCTCGTCTACCATATATACCGCCTGCCGAGTAGTAAGTGTGCGTTGCAAAAAAATAAACACGGGACCTGATGATACAAACATGCGTCCAAATCTGTGATTTGTTTGTTTGTTTAGTGTGTTTGCCGTTTTCCGCTCGCTCCGAAAACACACGGACTCTCGGGCCGAGCCAAACACCGAAGAACGAATTCGTCCCAAACCCTTCGTTTTCCTCGGATCGATCGCGAAGCCAAGCCATCCAGCTGACCCTCGCCAGCGGCCGGAAGGCAGCGCTCGATGGCGCTCGCGTCTCGGCTCGCCAGGATGCTTTGCAGTCGTCTCTTTTGCAACAACTGCATCCGCGAATGGCTGAGAGAGGCGAACAGCTGCCCCGCACCGTGGCGAACCGAACCGGAAGCGGTGGATGGCGGTGTTTGGGTGGAGATCGTCGTTGGCGCTGTCTTCATATGGATTGAAGTTGGAGGTTTTATACGGGCTTCAAAACTATACACATCACACATGCATGATAATACCTACACCATCCATCCTGAAAAGGCATTCTGGCCTGCCAGCACTTGCCATTTCCGTCGTGTCCGACAGGTCTTCTTCGTCGTTCAAAACAAAATCCTGGAAGAGACATGGATGTGGAGTTCACCTCCTGTTTGGTCTTTGGATTTCATGGTCTTCCTAATTGGCCATGCCATCCACTTCTACCGTGTTAGTTTCAGGAAGTGTATTTGAAAGAACGACCTTTTCGAAGAGTCGTCCTTTTCGCCTGTCGTCTCGGGTCCACGACATCTTCGTGTTCGTTCCAGAGGCCCATCGCTCGTGCACTCCGAAAGCCACCCCTGCAGAGCACCCGAGAACATGCCGAGACCGTGTTCGGCCAGATGGGAACCGTCCGTAGATAGATGTGGACGGCGAATCCGGATAGCTCAGACCAGTTGGTCCGGTGTTTGCTTACGGGGTCATTGGGGTGTTTGAACGGGTTTGGTTGGGGTGGGTGGGTTCACCTGCGAGGACCTCCGTGACCGGCCACGGCAGTTTATGCAGTTTTCAGCACCTCAAATTGTTCAAGGTTGAGAGGGGCTGGAGGGCCTGGAGGGTTCTACTTGATCATTAATCCTTGGTGACTCCAAAGCGTCTTTGGAGTCGCTTCTGAGCCTGGACGCAGATGAAGACTTCTGACATCGACACGTCCAATATTTTTTTGGGGGTGCCGGAAAGAGGTGGTGGTTGGCAGATGAGCCATGGCCATGTCCAAATTCTTTGGGCGGCCCAGGCCATTTAGAGTGAATCAAGTTTCAAGCTTCAAGCAGTAAACTCCGTACCAGGTGAAACATGACACACCCAGCCCGTGCCCCATGATCACACGGGCCGCCCGCGCCGCCAATCATGAGGTATGTAGGTATGAGTTGGCCACCGATTGCGAGGAATTTGAAGCTGGTAGATGCTTGGCCAATGTGGCAGTATGATTTTGTTTTTTTTCTCCACATGAATGTCAAACGCTTTTGGGCGGGCAAGGAAGCTGGTCAAGCTTTCTCGAAGAAGACTCCCAATGCAACCGCTTCTGATACAACATGTGCGGCCCAATTGCAGTGTGCAGGGGCTCCAGAATCCAACTAATTCAGGGAAATGCAGACTACAATCTACACGTTGGTATTTTTACGAAGACAGGGGTGGGGCTGCACACTGGACACCCCACATTCGATGGAGGATATCAGAGTATTTCATGCTGGAATTTCCCCAACTGTCATTGAATGGTACCTTTCTACCTGCAATCCTTACAGCCAGAAAGAGGCACCATCAAAGTCCCTTTATCCAAAGCCACCAATCAAAAAAACTTCACCCAACACACCAAGCCTCCAACCCCGAAGCTCCAACACCCATCAAGCCCCTCTCCCCTTGGTTCCCAAAAGCACCCCCAAATCCTTCCCCCCAAAAAACATCCCATTGGCAGGCTGACCAGCTGATGGGTCAAGGGTGTGATTTCATGATGAAGAGAAATTGAAGGTCCCCCTCACCCTTTCTACCCTCCCCCGAATTCAAGATGAAGGATTCATACTCCCTCTCTTGCACCCAAAACCGAACCTCTCTTCAGACCCATCTATTACTCCCAGGGCGTGCACGGATGGAGAACCGCCCGGTACGATTGAAGCTGGCTGAGCTGCAACAGTTGCGGGTCACCGAGCTGAAGCGTTTGATGAAAGCCTTGCAGGTCTCTCCTGACGGACTCCTGGAGGGACGACTCTGAGAGGGAGGCAAAATGGAGACTGGAGGGGACCAGAAAGGACCGGAATGCTAAGATATGTTTGAGATATGAGTCTTGTTTCTTCTGTTTGGGGTGGGATTTTTATGAGGTGTCGGGGGTGATGATGAAAGGATTTGGATGACATGTTTCTTGAGAACATGGATCTGTCAGGTGCAATAAATTGATGCAGGACAGAAAACAAAGCAACGGGAAACACCATTGCACCATGGGTTGCAATTAGGCTAAGCGCATGGGAACAAAGCCCAAATGGGTGATAATGGTGGAACATGAATGAAACAACTGGGGGCAACATGAGGGAACATGACTAAACGTCGAAACAACCGGGAAACCTAGTGACACGAGGATCCCCTTCTTCTTTGCTTTTTTGTTCTCTACATGCTCTTCTTTTCAGTTGCCTGTTTTCCTCGTCTTCCCCTAAGATTCCGATATCCACAGACCTCTGGCGCCAGCCGGCCTGGTGGAGGGGCCCGGTCTGCTCTCGGCCGGAAGGGACTGAAAGAAGCACTTTTGGGCGGATCTGAGGATGCCTCGAAAAAGCCGAGCTGGTGCGCCGACTGCAAGGGGCGTCAGATGTGGTGCTTGAGGAGGAGAATGCGCAACGCTACAGCAAGGAGAATGGGCGAGTTCTGCACGTTTCATTCACCGCTGCGCGCAGAAAAGATCACGTGACCGAGGTGAGACCAATTGGAAAAGGGGCAGGCATCTTGGAGCGAGTTCTGAATTGATCCAAAGTTGGTCGATGTGTTCCCCGGTTGTTTGAAGCGCCTTGCATCCACATCATCGTTCGAGGGACTTTCGGCTGCGCTTTGTGGATATGTCATCCAAATGGATGTCGACCCATGAACATCCAGCTCCCAGTAGTATCCAGCGGAACAACAACAACAACAACAACAACAACAACTACTACTACTACTACTACAACTACTACTATACTACTACTAGTACTAGTATTAGTACTAGTACTAGTAGTAGTACTAGTACTAGTACTAGTACTAGTACTTGCACTTAGTACTATACATGGAATTGCTTTTTGTTTTTCCATGTTCAGTTTGCACTCCACCCCTCACTAAGCTTTGTGCGCACCATGTGTATCAGACATGCCGCCCAGCCCACGCCCAACGCCCACTCCGTTCAGAAACGGCTGAACGGCGCCAGGAGGAGCTCGAAGACCTGCCGTTGCTTCTGTTGCGAAACCTCCTGGAGCGTCATCAGGTGCCGAACCGCATGTCCTTCAGTGGCGAGGAGGTCACCGAAGACGAGGTCAGAGCGCGCTCTACGAGCGCGAGACGAGCTTTAGCCATGCGGAATTCCGGAGACCCACGGAGACCCACGGTATTTGGTCTGAGACATTCCTGATCACTTTGGCATACTCATTTTCATGACGTGGGTAAATATGTGGGATCGGTAAACAGCAAATGAACTTACCATCCAAAGATTCATATAATCCAGAAGGTTTGGTCATGTTGTCACTTAGGGCTCCAGGCCAATGGGGCCTTTTCGGAACATGGGGAGGTGCATCGGGGGTCCAGCGATCGATTCTGATTGTTTACGTTTTCATGAGAAAAGACGACCAAGGTTCGAGTTGTGAAGCTCTGTGAACCTTTAGCTTGTTAAGATCTTCCATCCACTCACTGAGCGGTGGTTTCAATTAAACTATATTCCTATTTTCAACCTTTACTTGGCATCATTGAACCCACTGACTCATATTTTTGAATTGAAACATATTGAAACCACCCACCAAGCAGTTCACTTCCGGAATCTCTTCGAAGAAAGGACGCGGATCCAAACAGACTCGTTCGAAACACGTCGAGGATCCAAACGTCCCAACCGAGCCGCAGGAGCGCTCCTGGGCCTTGGCGTCCTTCGCGGCGGCGGGTTGGATCGATGCGAAGACGGAGCAGAAGGAGGGCGGAGCCGACGGAGTGGCGTCCAGGAAAGAGGTGAAGGAGACGGAGGTGAAGGAGAGAGTGGATTCAGTTCAGAAAGTGGAGAGATCATGAGAATACATAGAAGAGAACTGTGAGCAAGGACGCTACTAGGGGCTCCTGGCATCGCTACTAGGAGCAAGGACGCAGTGAAGACTATAAAGATTGAGGCAACTCTGGGAAGCATGTTGGTTCTCTTCAACTACATTCTGGATCACTCAAACTGCATGGTTCCTTTTTTCCCCAGCCCCTTAGTATTCCTTTGTCAGTCCCTTTGTTTGTGATCAAAATCATCCACTTGGAGTGGAAAACATCGGCAGGAGCAGAAGGAAGAGACTGGTCCTGCCGTCGATGAAGCCGGTCCCGCGGGACCCGCAGAGACGGTGTCGGAGGCGGCGAAGAAAGAGGAAGAAGTGGGTGGCTCGACTCAAGTTGAAAGTTCAATTTGTGAGAGGAGCACCTGTTTTTGTTGTGACTGTTGTCTTCAAATGGATATCAAGATGATTCGATGATGGCCTAAGATTGTGTTTCAGAATGATTGACTGTCATGTGACTGGTGGCCGTTCTCATCACCTTGGCTTGCCTACAGTAGGAGGACAGAAGCTGTCATACTGGTATTCTTGACTGTCCTCACACGTACCTTTTGACCCTTGTTCTTTTTGCTTCAAAAGGGGTTTCTAACTAAACCACTATATTATATAGATCTATATATATAGTTATAAGTTATAGGACATATATATATATATTATATGCTTACAATGGCTTTATATAAGACTAACGCTCATATGGACAGCCAAGCCAAATATGTTTAAATCGTGTGTATCTAAGGGTCGATCTGGGAGGTCTCACTATTTCATACTATTTTTCTATTACACACCCACATTTGGACCCTGCAATGTACTCTTGTTTTTGCTGGACTAGTATTCTTTGGGCTGAGTACTCTTTTCTTGGGCCGCGCAACTATTGGCACAGATCAAGGAGCGGTCAAGGTCAAACCTTCCTATGTTGGTCAAACCTTCAACATACCACCCGAGGCCCCGTGCGCCCGCGCCCCGCGCGCCCGGCGGGCCCGGCGCCGGCGCAGCGGCGCCCCGCGCGGAGCCGAAGCTCCGCGGGGCTGGGCGGATAGGGCTGTGAGGCCATGGACCGTCGGGTGCGAGTGGACAAGGGCGAAAAGGGCCGTAAAGTGTTCTCAACTCAAGACGCTTGGTTTGGAGTGATTTTTGGATGACGGATTGTTGAACCCAGTTCTTCGAGTGTTGCATTTGGTGTCGAAAGCTTTTTTGGAGTGTTGTCGAAGTATTCAGTAGCGGCAACAATCATTGGCTTGCTCAAAACAAACAAAGGACTGACCTTGCCAGTCATGCTCCAAGGTAGTCTTGACACAACACCATGCTTCTCAGGTCCAGCAAACTATATAGACGCAATATGTTTGTCCATCAAATTCATTCAAATTCCATTTCCATTGTTGCATTTTAAGGGGGTTTCAAAGTACATTGCTCAGACTGTGACCCATGCTGCGCGCTTTCCACTGGCAGAGTTCACCTTCGGCACAGAACTCGATTTCGTGGGTCGATTCCCCAAAGGTCGAATGTTCGGTCCCTTCGGCCTTCGAGTCTTCGGTGGCTCTCGAGTATCCATTGGGCATGGAGAGCGTGCTGTAGAAGTGAACAGACATGTTCCAATGCTTGATCTCCATGCTTCATTCAATTCAGATGGCACTGGTTTGGATCCAGTGACGACCGAGTTCGACCTTGCAAGTGGGGTTTTCAGGGTTCTGTGCCAAGTCTAGAGGTGTGGGACATAGCAATTTCAGAATATTCCATGAAATTCCTCTGACACTTTCCTGGGTGGAAAAACCGCTCGAATTGTATAATTATCTATAACTAATTATTGTTTGCTGCTACAACCGTCTCCAACATACACACAAACACACATCCCAAACCGTCCAGCTCTGGCTGGCTTCCAGAGTGTTTAGCTGCATGGACTGTTTAATTGAGATATATTGAGAATTATTGAGATATACAATATACGTATATATATATTATATATATTATACTTTTGACGTGGACTTTTTCTCGGGTGATGACTATCACTGCCGTAGACCGGCCATGCGCCTGCATTCTCCCACTGGTATGGGGTCGATTGTCCCACACCTTTGGCACCAGTCCGTATCCTTTGTTTCAAAAGGACGCCAGGCAGACTCGACCCAATTCCTCCGTTTTTTCGGCGAGTCCGACCCTGACGCCCAGCTGAAGGCTGGCCCCAGAGGGAAGTGGACCCTTCCGAAAGCTAAGATGGACCGGTCTTGGAAGACAACATGACTAGGGCAGTGACTAGGTCGAGTCTAGTCTCTCACATCCTGCAATGCCGTTTAGGCATGTGTGGTCGACTCTTAAGCTTTAGAGTGGTTTGACGTTTTAGCTGGAGTAAACCTGAAAGATGATGGGCCAAAGTACCTGTTTCAAGCCAACGATAGTATGTTGTCCATATTGGCCTGCGGGAGGATCCATGCGCACGCGTTCGGCGGCTTACAAAAGTCAGCGATTGCGAGTCGAGTTGAGCAGATAGGGCGGGGTGAAATGCGAATGATGAGGAAGCTGGTTGTGCGGCATTAGCTCATGGGAACTCCGCAGAAAACCTGACCTTTGTATCATACTGGCCTTTGTATCGCCTCTCTTTGCACCACACTTGCGGAGAGAATGCCTTCTTGTTGATCGACCCGCACCGATCAGCGCACCGATCACGTCTTCAGGCGGACGTGTACTTCTCGGAAGAGGAGGAGTTCTCGGAGTACGAGTGCGAAGGTTGCGGCTCAAAGAGCGTCCGGGTCCCGAGACTAAGTCCCGGGGGGATCTTCCAGACGCGCGGGGCCGGTTTTGGTCGGCTGAGACGGTCGGAGGGTGTGTTTGATGGGGATGAAATACTATCCGATGGGGGAGCAGTTGGAGCGTTTTCATGAGTTGACCCAGAGCGCACTGGTTGGACAGTTGGAGCTACAGATGTTGTCGGCTTCAACATACTTTGTGTCATAATATTAAGACCTGCCTATACTGAAGCACGGCTAAGTAGGGAAACTGCGGGTACGCAGTGTCCAAGGAACATCTATGACCAGCATTTGTGTACACACTGCTCACACTTGGGATGCTGTTGGGAATCCCGTGCTCAACACCCATGTGCCCAACTGTGCCCAACACCTGGGAGCTGCCAGGTGAATGTCATGAAGAAGGCCGAAGACCGATGCTTCAAAGTCTACTGCAATGCCTGGAAACCAAGAGCCGTGCGCTCTGAATGCATGGCCATGGTGATCCATGGTGCCATGCTCAGAAGTTGGAAAAGCCATATGAGTGGGGCCACTGGTCGATGTATTTTTACATAGAAAATGTTGTTTGTAACTGATGATAGATATTATATAGTAGATAGACAACTGATACCTTGAGTCTCCAATGACCCTTTTTAATTTGCCTTTCCAAGAAAAAGAGGTTTTTGAAAGAAAGCACTTTTTTTGGCATATATCACGAAATGTTCCTTTTTTGTTTGTGCCCTGTCAGATCCTCCTTAGACAGTGTCCTGAGACCTTTTTTCGGCGTCCAAAACGCGTCTTTTTGCGCCCAAAAGGCGTCTTTAAGCGTCCGTGTCGGACGCGTCCGGATGAAGATTCACTCTGCACCTTTTTTTGAGTCCTCATCTCTAAAAACGCGTTTTTCGAGCAAAAACGCAAAAATACTAGACCCGAAACAAAAACGCAGAAAAAAAAGGTCTTTGGAGACTCAAGGTATATATATATATTTACATATATTTTATATATATTTATGATGAATAATAGTGATATATATATATATAGAGATAGGCCCTTTTTTATAGTTTTTAATTGAGATATAGATAGGCCCTTTTGGAAGTTCAAGGGAGCATGGGATCCCAATTGGTGGAACTCCAAGACGAGCGACCAGACTGATTGGTGTGGGACTTGCTCAAAGAGTTCGGTGTTTAACTTGAGGACCAACTGAAGACTTGAGGATCAACTTGGTTGATTGCTTTGCATAGATCCCGCATCTCATCAAATGAATCGACCAACAGACCGGACCAATCCGGACGCCATTCAAACATCTCAAGGTGCAAGGCATGTCCCGGACATGCGGATCCCAAGGACTGTCCCTACGTCTCGGTGGCAGACATGAACAAGGAGGTTTGGCCGATCGGCGGTGGATCGGGAGAGATCTGGATCGATGGTCAATGGTCGAGGAGGTTTGGCCTGATAGGTCCAAAGGTTGAGACATAGGTCCCACAAACTCCGGATCGCTGGCCTTAAGTTCTTAGAGATGTCTCATGATGTCTCCCTCCATCTCCCTCAACTTGGCATTCTTGATGGTGAAGTTGTTCATGCGTATTGCATTTGGATGCACTTGGTGGGGCAACGGCAACAGCCATTCAGTGATGGTCTTAGCCTGACGTTTTTCTTCACTATCTAATTGGTGAGTTTCGATCTCCTCGGATACTTCATTCAGACGAACATTTTGCATAGCAACGAAAGCCAATCACATGGCACAGCCACTGGACATTGTGGTTTTGCTTGCTTGAAGTTCATCAGCGGGCAGTTGGTTGTGACTGCAATTGATAGTTGAAAGGGTGTTTTGTCGATCGTGTGTCGACATGAAAGGAACCCTGGTGACAATTGCATTTCGAGAGTTCCTTTGATGGCACAAGGGCCCCCAATGTCGGTTGTTTACCTCCTCAGCTGTGCCAGTGCTAAAGACCCCTCTGAAACCACTCGAAAGATGCCGAGCCAAAAGACTGATCCGCTTGCCGGGAGTAGTTTGATCAGCATCCTGAAATGCTGAGTGTGCTCCTGGCATCGCTACTAGGAACAAGGACGCACTAGGGGCTCCTGGCCTTACTAGGAACAGGAACGCTACTAGGGGCTCCTGGCATCGCTACTAGGAGCAAGGACGCTACTAGGGGCTCCTTACCTTACTACTAGGAACAGGAACGCTACTAGGGGCTCCTGGCATCGTTACTAGGAGCAGGGACGCTACTAGGGGCTCCTGGCCTCTGATTGGTCGCCAGTCGCTTCTCAGTTGTTCACATGTGAGGCATAAGACCACTGCAGCCCTGGCACAGCTGCTTGGGTAATGTTCCAAAAACGAAAAACTGCATCTTATGTAGCCTCCGTAACGGTCCTAGAATGCAAGCACACAAAATTGCCAGCGCCAACAACAAATGCATCATTCATACCTGGACCATCCGATGGGTGTCCTGGCTGGACTACCCTACACTACTTAGAATCTCCAGACAGGACACCCAGACAGGATGGTCCTGGTATTCATCATGATTCTATAGAATACACATCCTTTGCTAAACACCGCGTTTCTTCAGCGAGCTGATGTACCAACCGTCGATTGGTGCGCAACGCGCTGATCGCCGGGTTCCGGGTCACGCCGGGCGCGTTGGACACCAGGCTCCGTCGATCCGGCGTCAGCGCGAGATCGACGAGGCGGGTCATGGCCGAGGGTGGAGGGACTGGGAGGGAGTCGTGGGTTGTGGGAGCCTGGAGGGGCTTAAGGGGAGGTCTTAAGGGAGGTCTTAAGGAGTCAACTCCTCCGTGGTCAACCTTCCAGGTTTCCATAGGGTCTGGTGCCATGACCGGTGAACCCATGCGCGGATTGGCGGTGATGGGGATTGGGGGCTTGACTCGATAGAATCAAGAAACGATGACTTCATGGCGCCCCTTGGCGTGGATGAGCATGTTCCGAACTAACAAATAGGTGGTGAACTCCACTTCCATGATATTCCAAGTATATTATTGGTATACCATTGCATACCTGATTTTGGAGCCACTGCGATGTGGGTGTGGGTTGAAAGAGTACACAGACCCTCCAACCAATGGGCTTTAGTTTGTTCTGCATGTCTTTTTGGCATGGTTTTGTTAGGTTGGTGAACTGGGGATCCCCGGATTGTTGTAACATACTCATGTTGAATCATGTTGAAGCACAAGCTGGTCGGGTTTCTTTGCGTTTGTCTCTCAAGGTTCAGCTCAAGCACACTGCCCAAAAACTTGCATTCCGAGACCTGGCAAAGATGTTGGCCCTTCTGAGCATTGCAGCTGTCGTTTCAACCGTCCTGCTCTTGCTATTCTTCCGCAGGGTGCAACGGCCTGTTGCGGTGAAGGCTCAGGTCAAAAGCACCATGCAACTCTTAAAGACCGAGGACTGCGCAAATGCTTTGGAGCTAGGGACAGCCACCCTCAGCATGGCGAACAAGTTCCGGATGGACTACTGGGCACTCCCTTTGCGGCAGCTGTCAGCTTTCTCACAAAGGTCAGTGACAGAAGGATCTGCAGTCTGAGGTTTCACTTGGGCAAGTCTTCCACAGGGCTCATCCCTTGACCTATTGGTCAAGGGCTTTTAGTCGATTTTCATGACCCTTTACAAGGCAAAGGGGACTTAGGCCAGATTATCTTCGGTGGCACGCCCTTCGATTTGTACAGCTTTGAGGGGAAAGCACCATTTTCAGTGCCTTCCAGTGGCACTCCAGGATCAGTTGGCACCAGTTGCCAAGAGCGGCCGTTAAAAAAAAGAAAAACACACAAGACTTTTCAGGGAGGTGTTCCTAGATCAGGGGTTGGCGACCACATGTGGCTGCGTTTGTGTGGCCTCGCCAGCACCGAAGACCCAATGATCTGCTGGACGGCACCTGTGCCTTCTGTCTGGTGGACGGTGGACATCTTTTTGAACGGAGTCTCAACCGCCAAAAGCACCAGCAGAAGCCTGCCCTTGAAAAATAGAAACATGATTGGCGAATCTCCTGGCCTTGAAGACAGGTAAATTTGCTGGAAACATTACGAGGCCAACGTTTTTGGGAAGACCACAGGACGGCGGATTCGAAATACCGCTGGAAAAGACGACCCCCACAGAAGCAGGGGCCAAACCAAGAATAAAAAAACATCGGAAAAGACATGTTTGGTAACTCTTCCAGTTCAGTACCTCACAATGTCACAAAGAGTTACTGAACATTGTTGATGTTCCATTTTGCGTATTTGCTTCAGACTTGGCCTGTGTTTATTTTTATTATTTTTTGAGGTGCCGTCATCTCACTGGTTGACAAGGTCACTAGGCTTTATAGTGGAGGTTTTGAGTGCACGGAAAGAACAGAACCAGAAGACTATCCGAGATGACAATTCTTCCACGGAAAAAAAAGACGTGTTCCTTTGAGAGAATTTGAGAGACTTTGACAGGATGGTTCTGGCGAAGACTCTGTGTTCAACCTGAAAAAGCAGTGGTTCTCCTCTTATTTCGATCAACCTTCAATCACCTGAATCACTGATGGGTCCGCCCACGGAAGGCCCGCGCACGGAAGAAGAAGGAGAAAGAACAGAAGAAGTTGGCGGAGAAGCTGGCCATTGAGGAGAGGCGGAGCACACATAGAAGCAACATGAAGCAACATAAGTTAAGAGCGATGACATTAAAGTATTGTCTTCCTCTACGATATGTTGTATCTTCTGATATACAAGGAAGGTCATGAACATTCCGTGCTCTCCGTGTTTGAGAGGCCAGTCGTCCATTCCGGGTTCAAAAGCCCGCGTGACCAAGTCCAAACCCCCTGGTCAACCCCCTGGTCATGCGCCAATTCGGCTCGGACCCTCCGTAAAATGTCCAGAACACCTGGAGTTTGGCCCGTCTTTTTGAAAACACCTTGAGCGGGTGGCATCCACTCGATGGGGCCCATGGTGCTCACATGTGTTCACAAAAAGTGCATCCTTCTCTTCGACCAGCATCGTCATATGACGTAATCGTCGATGTCCTGGACCTGTTTGGTGCACAGATGTTCACATCTCTCCGTCTCTTGGTGAAAGTGTTTGAACATGGTTTGAACGTCTTTTTTGTCGGCACAAGCAGATGCGCAGGACAAGGTCCCGGTGGATCTGGCCGAGTTGGAAGAGGTGGATTGAGCGCGGAGCATGGAGCTCCGCGCGTTCCAAACGGGCGGAACATGGTCTGATCGGCTGTGGGGACGGATAGACTGGGTCAGACATTCTAGAGATCATTCATGAGCAATCAAGTTGCTGGGTCGCTCAAGGACCTGCAGAAAGAATGCCTTTTTTAATGCCCTCTTTGTTTATATTGTAAAACAGATAATTTTCCATGACTGGGTCAGTCTCTGTCTAGACAAGAACGCGGCCATAGAACCGAACGCGTAGGTCCAAGGTCCGCGGCGCGCCATGCGTAAACCGCGCCATGCGCATCCTTATTTTCCTCAAATCGCAGGGCATAGGGACCCTGTGGTTCGATGTTGGTGCGTCCGCGTACCGAATGCGTACCGCACGCTTCTTGGAGCCTGGCACAAAAAGACCGTGGCCTTTTGATCAGGGAGCGTTGAAATCTTGATGCTTGGAATGATATGAATGGATCCCTGAGCTCAGAGTCGCTGAGCTGCTGTTTTTGTTGTTATTTTGGACAGGTCTCACAAGCTCAGTGGGCAGACTATACATATTATAGTAAACAGATAGCAGATAGAATTAGAACAAACACAATTACTTGCAGATAGAATACGCTCAGATAGTGATTTTGGACAAAATGATACATAGAATATGGAAAACAGTCACTCGGACATAGAATATGGCAAGCACTGGCCAATTCTTGACCTTGACCTTGATTTCGATCTTCAAAGTTGCGCATTAATTTCTAATTGCCATTCCACACCCATCCTATGATATCCTATGTGCATTTGCAGTTGGAATGTAGTGACGTGATGCATAGAGGTATCCCAAAAAATATGACTAATTATGGTTTTGGTTCCAACTGCGGGCTCTCTACAAAAACATGTCAATGTATATAACATGTATCTATCTAATGTCTATCTATATATATATATATTGAATCAATCTTGGCACTCAAACTTAGACCTTTTTTTGAGTCTACATCTGAGTGCCTGTCAATGACGCCCACCATACCCTTGTAAGATCCTGTCAGGTCGGACCAAGTCTGTATATCTTAACCAGCGTCAAGTGGATCGTGCGTGCTGTTCTCCGTGAGCATTTCGGATTGCATCTCCGCTGCGCCATCGCGGCGGGGCGTGAGGGGCGGGGACCAGGGAGCCAGGCGGGGCCTTGGGTCATCAAGAGACTGGACAATGGCGGGAGAGACCAACACTAAAGACTGGACATTGCCTGGGTTGAAGGCCATTGCTAGTACGTTGGAGGCCATTGCTAGTAGGTTGAAGGCCACTGCTAGTAGGTTGGAGGCCATTGCTAGTAGGTTGG